TCAATATTGATGGTACATACTCATCGAAGTGAATGCATTTGCGCATGTAGCTCCTATCTAGTATCGTTTTCAATATCAACGCGACCTTGTGATGGTAGATTTGCAAACCTTATTAAAGTAGAGATGCAGTTTACCTGACAGGTATTTGAATTAGTTAATTAGGAAACCAAGATGACCTCCCTTGTCCACAAAACTATATTTTTTCGGAAAGATTATTGTATGAATTTAAAAATTTTGTAAGCATTTTTTTATGGACACTGTAGTTTGAAATATGCACGAAAATGTGCTTTTTGGTCAAATTAGCTTCTAAAAAATAGCCTTTAAACCATGTCTCTGTTTCCTGTCAAAATTGGTTTACGGGTACATATGTTTACTATGAAGAAATTGCCGTCTTGAAAACTGTCTACCAGTTGTCAATTTCGCTGGGCAGCAGCTTAAATTTCACTAATTCAAGTTTATGCATAAATTAACACCCAGGCTAGTTGTCCGTACGATTGTTGTAACACTGTTCAACCAAAAACAATGCCCCTACTGCGTTTTGAAGATAATCAAATTGTCAATCAATTATGAAAATTTCAAAACAAAAGATCAAAGCGTCTAGGAACTATTTTTTCTGGGATGTGCACTAATAAGAAGCTGAGATAATTGCTAATTTGCATAACAATTCACTCAGTAAGAAGTTTGCTAGTGCTCATCATTAAAATGGCTGTAACAGTTCCAAATTTAAATGTATTATCGTTTTGTAAAACGTTAAATATAGTGCATAGTATGGAGATCCCGTCATTACTTTTTTCACCATGTTTCTTTTTTATTATTTATGCACAGGCTTGCTAAATCTTGCTAAGCATTCAAAAGCGAGAATGTTTGTACCTGTTATCTATATTTTATAATCGTCTTTTGAGTATGTTCCACTATTCAAAATTCTACAAAAAATTTACAATCTATAGCCAAGACTATTTCGATAATAAAAAGCTATAAAAATAAATTCACTCCCAAGTGCCCACGAACCTGCATCTCTACCTTAAATACATTGCGGAGAGCCCTGACGATGTTTACACCACGACGACTGACCGATAGCTGGCGACAATGTCATGTACAATGGAATGCAGGAGTACCTTGGAATATGGGTAGTTTCGGGGATGATTTTTGGTACTCTAAAGGGTAGTTTTGTCACCGTATTTGGCGGCATGTATATAAATAAATCGCGAATGATGTAAATTTCCTAATTAAAAACCGACCCGCTCGATATATAAGATAATATCTAGTTGGAGCATTCTAGCTTATCTTCATTCCGAAGATAACAATTGTAAAATATTGAGTGAGTTTCCACTATACACAGCAACCAAAGCAGATGTTGTTATTTGGGGTAACACTTGGACCATACTCAAGCAATCAAACAAATTACGTTAATTCAACTGAACTGTGCTAGCAAATCAAAAAGGGTAACAGTTAAGTTCAAACGAAATCTAGATTTTTTCCTGGTGGCGGATTGACCATTGGAATTCATGTGGTTGGATCCAACCAATCGAGTTATTTATTTGGAGCAATGATTAACCGTGAATAATCGTTTAAGAGCATTATAAAAACAGCGAGACAGGATTTCCTTGCACGGACAGACATTTTCAGTAATGGCACAATTTTGACCAAAAACAATTTTCTCGTTCTAAAAAGATTGTTAATTTCAGTTCAAAATTAGACCTTTTGATTTTTGTCTCCATTTAATAATAATACCCAGATGTTTTGAACAACAGGGCGTCAGATCCATGTGTTTCCAGTGGCTTCAAAGAATTGTGTATATTTAGACCGAATCACAAAACGTTGCATTGAAAAGGCAATAGCACAGACCGTATCTGATCTTCTTTTTTTTCAATGCTGCCCTATGAGTGGCAAATGATATCAAATCTCATCAAAATCCACGGACCTATACTCCTCAAACTTAATTCCTACATGAAAATATATCTTTTCTCGGGCGGAATGCCATGATAATATATCGGACTAACTAGTGGTATAGAATTGTCCCTCGAAATGCCACCAGTTCTTTAACATGATCTATTTTGGATGACTAATTGCACGTCATTTTACTTATTTATTTGTTGGGCCATTTGATCAACGGAAGGTTATGTTTATTTCTTGTCTTCTACCCATTTGTAAGATACGTTTTCACCGATTTTACTAATACATAAATACATATTTGACAATTCTCCTAACTTGTTTGAGTTATATAACACTTTTCAAATGGTATTGTATACCATGTCCTCACATCGACATATTGGTCAATCTGGCTATTTACAGAATAAACAATATGTCTTCTGAGCCAAGTTGCCAAATCGGAGGAATGAAAATTTTCGTAGGCGGGTTTCAGAGTTCAGCGACGAATATGTATCACCGATTCATCTATGTCACCAAACGGAATCATTGATTGCATTTACCTCCGAATATATAAATTACGCGTGCAACCAAAATATCCTTCTCTAAGTACGCGGAATTTTCTCCTCAAAAGTGGCACATCAGTATATGTCAATAATCACACACACACAATTCTGCCCTTTTGCTAGCCCTTTATTGTACCAACAGAGAGAATAGAAACTTAGTATACACCCAACAACCAAACCCACTTTAACTGAATCTGCGTTTCTACATTAAGCCTCATTTATAATATTCATATAGTGAGACCTGTGAGCACCTGTTGACTGTCCAGTGGTATACATTAACATCTGCAAGAAAAAAGTGTGAAACAAATTTTAATCTATCAATCAATCAATCGTCTGATCGTCAATCATGATATTCTGATTGTTTTGATACTTACTGTTTGCCCTGAACTTTCCAGCTCTCTCCAAACTCAATAGGATCCTTTACAATAACACCGTTGGGTTTCTGGAAGTCATTTTTGGCATCACCGTCAGCATTACCAAGCAGACCACACATCTTTCCGCGATAATAATCACCAGTGAATTCAATATTAAAAAAGTGTTTCTTCCCAGTCCAGAATACTTTGAATGTTGTGTCTTTCAACTCGAAAGTCAGTATTGCCTTGTCGCCTTCGTGTACGATGTTTATATTTTTGAGACTGTCATCACTCTCCTGAAAAACAAGTTAATCATATGTTAGTCTATGCTTAATAGCTGATTTCATATTGCAAAATTCAATTTGTGTATTACAATCCAGTCGGTGTGGGCAGTGTTCACTGTATAATATTTCGAACATGTTGTCATATTTGTCTTTGTCGGGACAACAACAACAACCAACCAACACAGACATGATATAGGTAGCTGAAAATTCTGATTTCAACACTAATATGTGCAATAGTATATGGATTAATCTTACTACTGACCATACAATTGATGTTAAAGGAAGTGATTACTTACACTCGGTACATTGTTCTGATCAACGACAACGCTTTCATCTCCGACTGTAACATTGATGGCAACGGCTCTGGTCCTAATTTGATCACCAATATCGTCTCGTGGCGCTAAATCAGCGGTGATTTCAAACTGAGGGTTGGTGCTGGAGCAGTCCTTTACAAGTGTATACCAACAGATGCCTTGAAAACTGTAATCACGTCCGTCTAAAGTAGTTATGTGAGGGTCACCTCCCACTACAATGAAAGAATATAGACGGGATACATTAGAATTCAATATATATGAATGTCCCTATTGTTAGTCATTTGAAATGATAAAATCTACAAATGTCATATAAATTATATTGTGTCTTACCGTTACATTCGCATTCAGGACGATGCGCGGCTGTATGTATTTCATATATATCCAATGTTCTATTGTAAATTTGTATACAAGTTAATAGACCATTAAACCATTCTTGAGGATATAATGCGGCGCCTGCTTGTGCATCAGCTTGAGTTGCTATTTCTCCTGGGGTGAGAACTATAGACGCTATGAAATTCCCATTTAAGTACGCATACCCAGTGTGATTGTCAAAATCGTACACGACAGCCCAATGATACCATTCATACAACGCTGGTACCTTTATGTCTATTGGAAGTACTGGAACTGTGTTGCGTTTAGTAAATATAACACGTGCATACAACTCCGTACCATTTAATATTTGCCTCAATTGAACACCATCAACCGTCGTATTTGGATCGAAGAAGAAAATAGGACCCGCATTACCATACGGATAAACCCACGCCATGATAGTGGTTGACTTTTTCGTGTCGAAAGCACCATTGTTTGGAAAAAATAAATACGAGCTGGGGTTACCACGGAATTCATAAGCGCCGCATCTACGTCCCCTGGCGTTTTCTGGTATCAGCGTTACATTACCCCAAATGTCCTGTGCATGATTATCATTCCCAGACGTGTCATTAAGGAAATGTTTATCATTCAGCGGCCAAAATGCTACAGCATCATTTGCTATTAAAAACAAATCTTTGTTAACAT